CATGCCCAGCTCACCCCAAGTCTTGCACAGATGTAGCTCAGTCCCTGGTGCACTGATACGCCGTTCTGGGCTGTCTGATGCATCACCCAGAGGGTTGAGGAGGTGTCTGTCTCTGACTGCGGCTGAGTGGGACGCTGGTGTTTGTGTGGGTTCCGCCTTGAGAAAAACCGGCGTTGACAAAGGAAACAGTGGCAGCTGGTGATGTACGTTTATCCTAAGGGCAGGGGAGGTGTTGGGAAGGGATGGGCTCACGATTATCTGGTGTGTGTTCAAGCTAAGACTCCTTTGAAGCCTGCAGAATCTCGCCCACTTCAAAGCGGGGGGGGAGGGGGGGTTCGGGGGCACGGGAGGACAGAACCTCGAACTGCCCAGCAAACAGGTCCAGGTTGTGGCACATTGGCTTTGTCACGGCCAGGTGTAACGGCAACCTCTCTGCTGACCTCTCTGCTCCATTAGGGCACAACTTTAACCCAGAAATGTATTGAGGGGTCAGTGGTGGAAAGAAACTCACAAGTATTGCTCTTTAACGCATACTTTTATTTTCATTGCTTTGGTCTGGAGCAGGACAGTTTTACTCTTGCTTCTGTATCAGAAACCCGATCAGAGGGGTTGCTCGTTAATACAACTCGCCATTATTCTGCTAGGACCACTTGGTCTAGATGAGAAGATGAACTTCAGACCGAAATAAGACGTACGGACGTCATTTTAATCTCGCAAATAAAACGGGGAGGCTGATTAATATTTAGAACGGCATTTTCCGTGGCTTGCGAGGCGCATTACAGAACATGAAGGATACGCGTGAAAACGCCGGTCTGCAAACAGCGCGGCGAGGACGTTACTGCCGCTCTCATCCGCCAAGCGACAGCGCTGCATCTTTGGCGCAAAACGCCGATGCGAAGAGGTGTTACTGACAGGTGCTGCGATTGCTTCAGATTCCTGGCCACTGTTTGCCCAAAGCTTCTGTGCGCTAATTGCGTAGAGGGTGATAATTAGTCCCACGCGGTACGCGGGGCTCGCGGAAATTGGAGGTAGAACCCTGTTAGCACCCCGGGAACCGCGCACTTTCTGCCAGCATCCTTCGAGAGTGTTTGCAAATTGAATCTCAGCATTCGCTACATGAATAAACATTGAACTGCGCAGCACAATTAACATATTGATTGGTTGCTTTGCTACCGAATCGGATGGTGGACATGTTTTAATTGCAAGCAAAGTCACAATTTGAAATGTATACAGAGGTGCCTATACGTTAAAATTCGTTTTTATTATGTGTGATATTCTATTGAGTGTAATGAAATGGCTTAATTCATGTACCCGTGTACATGAACAGATAAACACGTAACGTTCTAACATAGAGTGATCAGTAAAATCAATTTAACACAAAAATGTTGTATATAAAAATGACCAGTACTCGCCAATATGCCAGTCTGTAGGATATGAGTTAATTGCCACACAAGTACGTGAATGATGAATAAAAAAGACAAGCCTCAGGTAAACTTGACTTAGACCCTGATCTTTTCAATAGCTAGATACGCCCTTCGTTTAAAACATCTAAAAGGATTTAATAGGCCTACCAACTTAATAGACGAAGGATATTTGTTTAATCTTCTTCGTTGTCTTCCGGTTCTTCACTGTTCATTTACATTATTGTTACTCTAAAGTGTAGCATGGCAGTAGGTTCAGTGATTCTATTACACTTTGGGCTAACCACATTGGGAAACCCGCTACATAAAAATTAATTGAATTTCTGGTTGTTGTTCTCGCATGCGGTTCTTGGAAATATTTTGAAATAGAGGGAAATAAAACGGTTCAATTAATTAATTCTGACTTACTCGAAATTCTGACGCCGTGTCCGATACCACTGAAACAATTAGAAGCAATCTTGTGCACAAAATTCCGGAAAGATGTCTGCATTTGATAAAAATCCGGGATCCCATTCGAGCGCGCGAGACCAGGGTGTGCCTATACTTTATTTACACGCTTATTATTTGTTTTTCCGATACTTATCCAAACAATAATCAAAATAATTTGGTCTAGTGTTTATACAGAAATAGGACTTAAGGCTAATGTTTTTTTCTGTGGTTAGTGCGCGTTCTTCGGTATTTCAGTTTCATAAAATAAGTGAGATTGAACATCTGTGAAAGGTTTGTTCTGCGTGAAACATGACAGCATCTCGGGACAACTGTCCATTTTGTACGGTATTTCGTCTTTTAGATTGAATTATTTCGCGATTATTTGTAATTTGATTCTGTTCACTGATTGTAACACCTTTTCTGTAATTACACTTGCTAAGAAATGCCAATTTAAAATTATTTTGGGCTATTGGTAATGATTCTATTTACTTATTGAACATTGCATATAAGAATTTAGTTAGGGAAATATTAGGTAGTCTAAATGTTCAGAAGTTCCCGAATAATATGTCAGACAATAAATCAACCGTAGTCATTTTGTTTGTTGTCTTTCAGATTTAAAGAAGCCTGTCTAACTTCCGAGTCGTTCGTAGGTCAACGGGCCCAGAAAACCATTTTTTATCGTTAGGAGTATAAAGATGCCCGAATCTCATGATTCCCTACTTGTCCTTCAGATGCGAAGGAAAATATTTGAGCGCATGATCCTCGGACCGTCCTGCGGGGCAGGTTGGGGGCCCGGCTGGCTGAACTCCCACATGCCTCCGTATTCACACCTCTAGTGTAATCCAGCAAGCAAACAGGATGTGGACTTACGTGTGTGTCCGTCTGGCGACGGAGAGGGGCGCCTGTTTAGCTACACAACTGAAACAACATGTTGTGCATAAATGCAAAGATACTCCGTATCGTGTAAGGAAATCCGAGATCGGCCAAATAAAGCGTATCAATGACGTATTTAAACTGAACGAAGTCTGAGACATGCCGCAGAATTGCATGGACATATTTCAACATTACATTTACAATCACGAAAGTTGCGTTTCATATCGCGCGTTTAACATTACCGAATGTCCTAGATTCAGAATCTTTCTGAAAATTTTGTTTTTTGGAAAGAATTAAGGGACTCCATGTGAACGCATGCCTATTGTCTGGCACCTTTATTACGGCATAAGCTGCTTTTATTAATTTTTCTTTTCCCAATAACCATAATCACCCAGAATTTAATTCGAAACACACTTGAGTGGCAGTGGAGACATACGAAAATAATTGTTTAACTTTAGTTGCATTTTGAATCTTAAAATGTTGGTCTGATAAATAAAACGGTGTTTCCTCCAAATTACACCAACTAGGCCTATATATTTTCTAGTCATGGTGCTTTTTGAGCAGTATCAAAATGTAGGCTACTACCAGCAGTGTACATAACTAAAAGTACGAATACTAGGTATATTTTTCACTGTTTTATAGGCATACTGATCATAAATCACGAGAAATTAAGTGAAACTGTTCCACATAGCGATGCACCAACGGAACGGTTGCGGTTCATGACACAACAATGGGCTTGCATAATTGAAATCTATCGTGTTATCCTGAACAGGCAATTTGCTTTCCAGTCTCCCTAATGAATTGCCTTCTTTCTTCTGCATTAAATGGCACGGCTAGTTATCACCCAATGATTAAATGCAAGCAGACCATCATCGATTCCCATTCACGTCTCGGCGTAGGAGAAATTGATTGAACCACGGTGTGAATTTCGCGAGGAAAATGGCAGTCAAAAAATATCACATCTGCATAAAAATAACACCTCACCTTCACACGAGCAACGCTCTCTCTCTCTTAGCTGGTATCCCAACTTCGATGTATGCATAACGTACCAGCACAGCAGCGAATGACGGTATCTCATAAGCCTAAATATACACTTTCAGAAAAAAGGGTAAAAATTTGTATCTTTGCTTGTCACTGGGGCTCTACCCTCAAGGGTCTGCCAATTCTACCATTAGCTGTAGGTAATTTACCTTTTAAGGTACGTAAATGGACTATGGGAACATTTCTGTTTCGTTGATGGCACATTAATGTTGTTTGTACCTTTGGGATGTTCCACAGAGTCAATTTATGTACCTTAAATGGTACAATTACAAGGGTACAGCCCCAGTGACAAGCAAAGGTACAATTTTTTTACAATCGCACAGTATCAGGGCTGCGGTTCTCTGAATAGCCAGGTCAATTACAGATCGGACCCAGTGAGAGTTCTGAAATCTATAATTGTTATTTTATAGTTCTTTGGTGTGGCCTGAACACGGCCTGTACAACGAGGACCGTTGGATAAACCAACAGCGCTCACCCTTAGTGCAGATAAAAATATACCGCAGGTAGTGCTTTAAGACCGTTTCAGCGTTACTACTGCTACTAAATCCGGGCGATCAGCATCACTTACAGTATCCATCATAAGGACAATAACAATAAACGATTTAATGTATGTTTTCGTAATGCAATGTGTCCTTATTTCACGGAATGACATCTCGGAAATATAATTCATTTCGATGTGAACTTGAACGGCGCGGATTGTCAGATCAGCCGCGCGTTCTGACAATATCGTCAAACTGACAATCCTGACAAATTTGCCGCTCAATACTTGTAATAATATTAATTTATTATTAAAAATATAAAATTACCCGTAGTAGGTTAGGATCCTGACAGATAAACTAACCAAACCTGTCAATCAAACAATAATAATTGATAGGCTACTTTAATTAATATATATTGCGTTATGGCTATTTTAAAGGGATGCAACGGCAAGTTTTATTAACGTTATATTTTTTATTATATCTATTTAATTTAGATACAGTTTGATCAAACGAGAAATATTACAATGATTTTGCTTAATTGAAAGCAGAAAAGACTTTCTCAACTTGAGAATTTCTAACATTTATGGGAATTCAGTGAAAAGTATGGAATTAGACACTCGCACCCCCCCCCCCCCCCCCGAATTTTTCCAGGTTTCTTCCCCCACCCCTTTCTCACCCCCTCCCTGTTGGTGACTGTCGGAGCTGTCAGGAGCATATAAAGCGGAAAGGCCGCCGGACTGTACACAAGTGGCGTACAAGTTTCCGAGACTCCATATGAGCCCAATACTCCTGTCCCGTCGTCATCGTGTTTTCTGCAGACTTTACTTTTTAGCTTTTGTAGGTCTTTAGCTTTTGGATAACTTCAGTTTAAGTTAATTTAAGGTCTTCATTTACTTGTGGGAAAAAAAAACCTTATACCGGCGTTCAGACTCAGCTGGTCTGCGAGAAAGGTATTTCAAAGAGGAACACTGGCTTTTTGATACAGGGAAAACAGAGGACTTGGCCGACAGCGACTGCTGGGTCCTAGAAGCGGCACGTCACTGTGATGGAGACCGTCCGCTCGCTGGCGCTGCTGTGCGCACTGTGCTGCGCATGGATGCGATGCGGGCTGGCCTCTCGGATGAAGCCCCCTGCGCTGCCCATCCAGTCGGAGAAGGAGGCTCCCCCGTCCAAAGGAGCGTCAGGTAAGCCTTCCAACCTCCCGGCCCCCGGGTTTTCTCTAATACCTGCTTAAATAAATTATAATCCCAAAAAGACGCGTCGATGATTCAGGTTTACTAATCCGCAGGGTAACGGTACACGACAATTCGCAGGAGGCATACATTCACCACGTAATGGCAAAAAAGTTTAAATATTTAATATTTAAAAGTGAAAACTAAGATCGAAGTGAATATGTATAGGAGTAATGCAGGCGAACACTACTTAAATGATTGCGGGAAAGTGATTTAATGATTTAAGACACCACTTTCATACCGAAGAAATGAAGTCATTTGCAGACATGTAGTTTCCTTGCAGGGCTGCTCCTGCTGTCCTGCCTCTAGCAATAGAGTTACACCAAGAACAGCTTAGTCACAAAGACATATGACAACTGTGGAAATGCAGCGGTGTTTCCGTCGTTACCTTTCTGGGGGCGAATGATGTTGCGGGACTGTGCCAAGAAGTGAAGCATTTCAAATGTTTGTTACGGATGCAATCGAGATCAGCCCCACTTTGACTCGACTGAGCTCTTTAAAGTAGTCACTTAATGAAAGAATAATGTGAACCAGGCCGTTAGTAACTGAGGCAGACGCTCAAAATATGACCAACACTTAAGACTCCTAAATGTTGGTGGGGCTGCAGTATTGGCGCCTGCGATGCGTTTAACTCCCAGGATTATCTAGGGCGTCCAGGTTACCATGGACTCGGCGTGGATGCCGTCTTTCCTTTGCAATTTTTGATTTTTTTTTCCCTCTTTAGTGCTTGTGGTTGATGACAGAAACAAGGGGAACACATTAAATATGCTCTTTTATTTTTCAACACCCGGATTTTTTTTTGTCTCAGTTTCATTAATTCCATCAGGTCATCCCTAGCAAAGTTAAAACGATTACGCGGGTTTTGTGGTCTGGAAAACTTTCGGCATGCCAATACACCAAACTAATCCACTGCGGTATTCCTGTGGGCGGTGTGGGGTCCGATTTTGGGGATTTATTCTGTAGTTTTACGCGCTGTTAGCGCCGGACATTGTTGCGATATTTGGTGTGTCCCGATGTGTAGACGTGTTGTGGAAATGTACTACACATCCTATTATAGTGAAGCGCTTTAATGTGCACCGATTCCCGATTCCTTTTAGGCTACTGCAAGGTTCAACAGCTGACTCTCATTAAACCGTAGATGCCGCGATCTGCATGCATGTGTTCTTGTATTTGACTGAGTCTCCTGCTGTGTGGCAGGCTGCTCATTCGGAGGAAGGTTTTACTCATTGGAAGATTCATGGCATCCAGACCTGGGGGAGCCTTTCGGAGTCATGCACTGTGTCCAGTGCTACTGCGAGCTGGTAAGGCGTTCTCCCTGTCCTTTCTTGACTAAATCCTTGCGATTTATTTGTAGGCCTGTATGTAAGTTAAACTGCAGTAATACGCTTTATCTGTACTCTCTTTTATGAATATTACTATTGCATTAGCTGCCAAACTAGCGAAACGGTAGGTGCTGGTTTTAATTATTTGTTTTACATACTAGAAATATAACAGAGATTAGCTTCAGACTGAATCTCAAGTACCGCGTTGTTTTTAAGATGGCAGAGTAGTACAGAACGCAGGACATTGCTACCGAGCCAAAGAACCGAATTTTCCATTACTGACTGATCTCATTGGGTGGGTGTCTGAGGACAACCAGTGATAGGAGGGTTAACGCTGCTTTATTTGTGTTGCGTCCTCAGGCACACCCAGGTAACTGAGGGTCACTATAAAATCTCACAACACTTTCCTAAATTAAACATTATGGATTTATTTAGCAATGTGTTCTTAAAATTGGATCAGTTAGTATAATTTCAGCCGTGCCTGACTGGTCATCAGGTGCTGCCAAATGTCAAATTAGTTTGCTAATCTTGGGTGAGCAGATGAAGAATTGGGTCCAAATTGAGAAATTACGTAAAATGACTTTGAAAAGGGGCTCTTTTTTTCCTTCTCCCCCAGCAAAGAAACCGTCGTGGAAAAGTATATGGGAAAGTGAGCTGTAAAAACATCAAGCAAGACTGCCCTGAACCTAGCTGTGAAGATCCCATTCTTCTGCCAGGGAGATGCTGCAAGATCTGCCCCAAAGGTAAGACACCCTGCTGTAGATCTACTGAAATCTTCTGAGGGGGTTCTTTTGAGGGAAGGGGCTTAACCAACAGTGCAGGGCTGCTGTGAGGGTGTGCAGGAGATCTTGGGTAGAGCTGAATGGGACAGGGGAACCCAAAGGAACATCTGCTGACTGACTGCTTACCCTGACTGGACAAAACCTCAGCATCATGGTCCTGGCCAGATTTCAGTCATTCAGAATCTGTCCATTCCTTACAAGGGGTGCAGTTCCTCACTCTGAAAAAACTGAAGCAGAAACGTGAAGCTCATGGGAGCTTTATTGACACAAAAATGTTCTGACAGCAGAAGGGAAAAAATGATTGGTTGAGAGAGATAACCAATCAGATATTGGTCAGATGTCAGACCAGCCAATCAGAAATCTTGGTCCCGCCTCCTCTAATTGCTTTGACCCACCTCCTCTACAATCTGAATCATTCTTTCTTATGCCTTCAGAACATTTTTGTGTATGTGAAACTCCCAAGTGCAGACTTCTAAAACACTTTTGGTTTTGCTTGTGGAGAATTCTGCCCCCTGTTGGTGCTGTACATTTCAAAATACCCCAATGAGTCCGTGTGTTTGTGCTGTACAGGAGAAGAGGAGAAGAAGCAGGTAGAGTCTGTGTTCGATGGACTGGAGTATTTACAGGAGAAGGACGACGACTTACACAAGTCCTATAATGACCGCTCGTACCTCAGCTCTGAGGACGTGCGGCCTGGGGAGAGTCGAACAGGTAAGGGTATCCTTGCCCATTGTCAGAACCTCTTGTCGATTTTACCGTAGTGTAGCCTTCTGGACCATAATCATATCTGGTCATATCATATCATGCCCTCTAATCTTGTAGGTCATAACCTTTAACCTCTTATTGGATTATCCAATGACGAGATGGACCTCTGCTTGAAGCCTGTTGTCCAGTGGTTCACGGTCTCCTACTCTTGTTTTCCCAGACTTTGTGGCGCTGTTGACGGGAGTGATGGATACCTGGCGGCCCAGTTCTAGTGGTGTGGGCCGGGCCCGTTTGTCCTTGTCGCGAAACAACCTAGTCTTCTCGATCACCTTCAAAAGGTACATGGTCAGAACCACTTGTCAGTGGGTGATAAGCAACTTCTCTGTCTTTAACCAAGGATGATTTCTTAGTTAATTTTATCTAACATTTATTAGTATCTAGACCATCTGGGTTGATATTAAGCAAAGAGTATAACTGGATCCAGGGCTGCAAGCATTGTCCCAGGTTTTGCCTTCCCTGTCTTTACATGTGATGGTTTCCTGAAATCACACCCCCATTTTCTCCTTCAGAATGGCACGACCCAGTCGAGTTCTATTCCAGGACATTGATGGCAACACCGTGTTCCAGTTCAGGGTGCCAAGGCCAGATTCGACACAGTCCAATATGGTGAGTATGGGGTTGTCAGCGAGTGACGCTGAATGTGGAAACATTGGCACTAGTGCAGAGAGGGTGAAGGAGCCAATGTGGAGATTAGCGTTAGCGCTGGTAGCAATGGCGGATCGAGTGCTGACCTTTGTGAGTCTTTGTGGTCAGTTGTGCTTCACCTGCGTACTGCCGTGGGCTCTGGGACTCGCTAGTCTGTTCGCGTGATTTGTGAGCTCTGAGAGACCTGAGTCGTTTGGCAGGTTTCACAGCCAAGCTGTTAAAAGTAAATATCCTGAACTTGTCAGAGAAAATGTTTACTTAAGAGAGGAACATAGCCCGACGCTACATCATAAGGACCTGCCGCAGCCCATAATAATGGACTGTGATTGGTCAAATGGCGTGTTTCCTGTATCGGATTCCATCGAAAAATGTCATTGTCATTCTTGGCCAAATGACCATTGGGACACACACAATGCTGGAAGCCATTTTGTGGTATATTTTCAAAGTGTGATTTCATGTGTGTTACAAATGGAATGAACAAATAATTATGTGAGATTAGGCCCAGCCTCGTGTTACGATGTGCTTCACTGCGATTGTTCGCTAAGCAAATATTTGCCTAAGGCTCTCTCTGGCTAGCAGCGAAGGGAAGCAGAGTGTGTGTCAGAGTTGGCATGAGGGCTTCGGATTCACGTCAAATCCAACCAGAAGCGATTCTGGGATTTTTTTGAGGTAGGGGGAATAAGTTTATGCAGAGCTGCCAACTTTATCATTAGCCAATGATATGGTTTGAATTGGTGAGTGACAGTGGAGGGGGCACTCCAGTAGCCAATCAGCTATGGCCCTGTATACACCCCTGGCCTCAAGTCCCTACCTTTTACATGTCTGCCTTTGCCTTGCAGGTATGTGGAGTCTGGAAGAACCTCTCCAAGTCTCAGGTACGTCTGCTGCAGGCAGAGCTTTTGCGGATCACCATGGCGACCGGAGGCAGCCGGCAGGACGAGATCCGGGGCAAAGTCATCAAACACCGGGCACTGTTTGCAGGTGTGTGCATGTGTGCACACGCTCAGCCACACGCATGGACATATCTCAGCACGACATGGACAATGACATTCATCAATGTCCGTTTCCATTTTCCCAGAAACCTTCAGCTCCATGTTAACATCTGAAGAAGAACATTCTGGTATGGGGGGAATTGCCATGCTGACCCTCAGCGACACAGAGAACAACCTCCACTTCATTCTTTTGTTCCAGGGGCTCCTGGAAAACCATGAAACAGGTGGGGGGGGCACACGTGGGGAAACTGTCCTGATTCCATTGAAGGAGCTTGCTGTGGTCAATGTGCCCATATCTGTGGTCATGTGATTAAGGCACTTTTTTTTTTTTTGCCCCGCAGAGCACCCTCTAGTGCCCATCCGGGTGCAACTGCAGTACCGCCACCATGTGTTGAGGGAGATCCGCGCCAACGTGACCGCCTATGTGAGTATCTCAGACCTCAGGAGTGTGGTGGAGAGATGAGCCCTCAGGGGGAGAGGAGGGGAAAGGAAAAGAAGGAGGGATGGGGTGGAGGACAGAGCCATGCTTAAGCTGCTCACATGTGCGAGTGGTTAGCTGGGGCCGGGTCACGGCCGCGGAGGGGATCTGCTTTCCCTCTCCCGGATGCAGGGCAGAGGGCTGCAGATAACAGCAGGAGGGGCTCAGCTGGGTGGAGCAGGCGTGAGTCTGGGGCTCCTCTTCTCCTTTGCTGTTGGGTCAAAGGTCACAGACACAAAGTCCATGAAGGTCACACCGATACGAGGTTCAGCACAGGAAAGTTATTGTGAGGATTATGCTAACAGGGTCTCCAGGCTTTATCTCACCCTTTATGCGTCTGAAAGGTCAAGAATACTGAGCCACAAAGACCAAGACCAAGACCAAGACCAAGCACAGTAACTGCACTGACACTGACAAAGAGAAAAGGAGCTTCAGAGCTTTTTGACTCTCCACCCATGTGTGCATTAGTGTTTTCTTCAGAACTGAGCATAGATGAAGATATTTTGTTACGAGATAAAACAGAGCCTAAGTAACCCCATTTCAGTGATAACTCAGTTTTGATAAAAATATGCAGTTACACTGTTCCGCCTTCGTGTGGCAGAATAACCACACTGTGTGGAGCTCCGTTGTCAGCCTTTATCGCGGCCCACTGCGGTGTTATTACAACGGCGCTCTAATGTCGGCGCCGCTGTCACGTTCTGGCAGGACCCGGACTTCGCGGAAGTCCTGGCGGATCTCAACAGCCGCGAGCTCTTCTGGTTGTCCCGCGGACAGCTGGAGATCGCCGTGGAGACCGAGGGCCGCAGCCCACGCCGCATCTCGGGATTCATCACCGGCAGGAAGTCATGTGACAGTAAGGACAGAGCGCCGAGTGTGTTTGCTGCAGCTGCTGTTAGCTCACTCACACCTTCGTGTCATTCAGACATTGGAGACTTTATTTTTTATTTCGATCCCTTTCTCTCCTGAGTACTCTGGTGCTTTATTTCCCGTCACAGATGTAATCAATACACACAAGTATAACTTGCACTGAGGGGTCACATGTATAACAATGTGGGTGTGTCTGAAGTAAATTAACCACTTCACCCGCCGGGGACTGGTGGCTGTGATGTCATCAGTGAGGAACTCCTACCCTTCCTGTCTTATTCCGATGTGTTTATGTAATTCTGTCGGCCACACGCTGGCCCGATCATTTCTTAATACCTTAATCAATTGAAGGGTGGGGGAGGCTTCAGTTTGCTCTGAGGGGTCCAGCCCAGTCGCAAAGCGATATTCAGCAGAGCACAAGTTGTGGGTTTTTACAAATATTTATTCCGTACAAGTATTTAAAAATTTATTTGCTTTTGGGAAGCAAAGAAAAAAAAATAAAGATGCCACGAAAGCCAGTGTTCCTCATGACATGGAGCACGGTGAGTGTTTGTGAGCCGCCTGCTTGATGGTTTATACGCCCGAGGACCTAGAAATTTAAAATAGAGCTGAAAAATCCTAATTGGAGCGGGACACAGCAGGCGTAAGTGGCCGTAGTAGAGGCTACGAGTTGCTGGTGTAACCCAGTGACTGTGCCGTCAGATGTATAACGGTACAGTACATAGCCAACTTAAAATACCAATAATACCGGATAGTAATAATAAACATGTATTTGATGCATTTATTATTTACTTCACTGTCATTTTTATGACTTTAAAGTATATTCTTTCTTATACACAGTGTCTTGGACTTTAGGGTGTACGGTGCACTATACTGTATAGGTTTGTATATAGTGTTTATCAGTGTTTGCCAACCCAGTCCTCGGGGAACCCCTACAGTCCACGTTTTTGCTTCCTCTCAGCTCCCAGCGCACCTGTACCAGGTATTCGGTGTTCCTGATTGGCTGGGAGCTGGGAGGGAGCAAAAACGTGGACTTGGTTGGGAAACACTGGTGTATATGATGTTTGCAATGCCTCCAAGTCACCTAAGGTCCTATAACCCTGGCGTGTATAGAATAAAACTTGTTCTGCCAGATCTCTCAGTCAGGGATTAATTAAGGTTTAGTTCCTGGCATATGATACTTGAGAGGGAACATTTTTTATTTGTAATGTTTTTTGTTTGTCCGTATTCCGTCTGTTCAGCATCTTCCAGTCAGGGCGAGTGGTGGCATGATTCATTATATTCTCACAAGCATTTATTGTTTTAGAATTTATTGGTTTGAGTGTGGATTAGGAACTTGATCTAATTTTCAATGATATTTATGGTTATACATGTTTATTAGAATAATTATTAACAGTTACGCGTAATATTGGTTTAAGGTTTTCATAAACCTAGCAATAATTTATCGAAAAACACTTCTACTGGTCAGGGTCAGCCCCTGTTGTCCTACTCTGTGTCCCTTCCCCGTTTGGCCAGCAGGTGGTGCTGGTCATCCCGTCCTTTGTGTTAGTCTTTGTTCCCCCCTGTTACCTGTCTGGTCATGTGGCTCAATGCGTTGAGCATGTGGTTGTCTGTGTACCCTTCTGTCCTGTGTTTGAATCCTGCCTCCTGTTTTTGTTTGTTGCTCCTTAGTGTTTCTAGTTATTGTATCTGGTGATTTTGTATTTGGTTTTGTTCCTTGTGCTCCTGCTTGTCTTTACCTGTTTGTAATTCCCTAGTGTTGGTTTATGTTTCCTTGGTTAGTTCTTAGTTTCCTTGTTTTCCTATTAGTTTCACCTGTACCCTGTTTTCCTGGTCTCTGTTAATTAGTCTCACCTGTCCTGTGTTAGTCTTATTACCCAGTTTTGGTTTCTGTATCCCTGTATCTGTTCTGTTCCCTAGTGGTTCGTTGATTGTATGATTGCTGCTGCTGCTAGATCTTGAAGGTTTTGTTGTAGTTTAGTTTTGGATGCTTTGTTTGTTGCCTATTTTCCTGATTCCCATTTGTACATTTAGTCTTTATTTATCCCCGTTTTAGTTTTTGATCCCTCGTGGTCCTTTGTTTTGTTAGTCCTTTCTTGTGTTTTGCTTAGTTCGGTTTAATAAACCCCGTTTTTGTTCTTTTGTTCGTCCATCCTTTCTGTTCCTGCACCATGCCTCGTTCCCGCGCCCGAGCTGCCCGGATCCCTGACAATACTAAGATTTAAATATCGTAAAATCATAAGTGTGATAAAACAGAAACTGGATTGTTACACCTATTTCACTTTTATTTGAATGCAAATACAGGTAGAAATACTGGACTCTCTGCACATCCCTTTGTGCTTTGCACCAATCAGAATGTAACTGCATTCTTGAATCCCATTGGCTGGCGTTCCTACAGTGTGAAATGAAAGGACGTCTCTCGGTCTCTGACCCTTTTGCTTGTGTTGCCCTCCTCAGCGATCCAGAGTGTCATGTCCAGCGGTCACGCCCTGACTCCCGGCAAGACCGGCAGCGTGGGCTCCGCTGTCTTCTTTCTCCACGACAACGGGTCCCTGGATTACCACGTAAGCTCCCACGTCATCGCGATCATCTCCTCTGCACTGGCCCCACCCCCACCAGGCCCTCCTACCATGCTCCTCCCTGTCCCCCCCCCCTCCAGGTGCAGGTGGTGGGCGTGTCCAGCCAGGTGGTGGGTGTGACCATCGAGATGAAACCTCGGCGGCGGAACAAGCGCAGCGTGCTGTATGACCTGAGCGGCGACTATGCGGGGGGGCGCGCACACGGCAGCTGGAGTCGCATGGAGGCGCGACACATCCATATGCTGCTGCAGAATGAGCTGTTCATCAATGTCGCTACCGCACACCACCAGGAGGGGGAGCTCCGGGGGCAGATCCGCACCCTGCTGTACAGTGGCCTTGACACGCCCCGCCACGGTGAGAGAGCCTTCTTTGAATTTCATGTGGTCCAATCAGGGCTTGTAGGACTGAGGAAATTAAAACCCCACCCTTCCCTCACCGCCAGAGCTCCCTGTTCCGCTGGCGGGACAGTTTGTGTCACCCCCTGTGAGCACCAGTGCTGGGGGCCATGCCTGGGTGTCTGTGGATGACAGGTGTCACCTGCACTATGAGATCGTGGTGGCTGGACTCAGCAAAAGTGACGACGACTCTGTCAACGCCCACCTTCATGGATTGGCCGAGATTGGTGAGCTGCAGAGCAGCAGCCCCGCCCACAAGCGACTGCTCATGGGGTTCTATGGCTCTCAGGTGAGGCTTGCAGATGTATAAATGCAGAGAATGCACACAACCCAAAGGAATGCTGGACGGTCCCTCGGTGAGCTGAACTCTGTCCTTGTTCTGACCCGGCAGGCCCAGGGCATCTTGAAGGACCTGAGCCATGAACTTCTTCAGCACCTGGACGAAGGAACTGCCTTCATACAAGTCAGCACCAAGATGAACCCTCGAGGAGAGATCCGGGGGCGGGTGAGTCCAGATCGGCCACAGATGTGCTGTCAAGGTCGTGTCCTGTGTGTGTCTGGGAGGAGAGACTGACTGGCTGCCTGCTTCTGTCTCTCTCTCGCTCCCCCTCAGGTCCACGTGCCCAACAGCTGCCAGTACGGGAGCAGGGCAGAGACGGATGAGGCGGAATTCGACGACCTGCTGTTTGTGCAGGACCCTGAGGAGCTGAAGAAGGAGCCTCACACCTGCTTCTTCGAGGGCGAGTATCACGCCCACGGCTCACACTGGACGCCCCATTACAACAACTGCTTCAGCTGCAGCTGTCAGGTACCATGGAGCACTGTCCCACTCAGGACCACGTCTCACTCTCTGCCTGTAATGAGTCACTCCAGCTAGTCTCACTCTGTCTGTAATGAGTCACTCCAACGGTACATCTCACTGTCTGTAATGAATCACTCCTGCTATATGTCTCACTCTGTCTGTATTGATTCACTCCTTCTGTACATCTGTCTATCTGTAATGAATAGGCATGTAACGATGAATTGCGAATCAGTTAAAAATCGATGTAAATGTATGACGATTTAAACCGGCTGATGTGGAAAATGAATCGCTACTTTAGGAGTACTTCACAGTACTTTAACAGTGCTGGTGTCATTAAATCAAATGTAATATTACATCAGTTCGATACCAGATGTCACTGCATATTCACGTCGACGTCAGACGTCAGTTTTTGGTTTTGACCGAACGCGAGATGGCGAGCGAATTTGAAATTGAGGACGGCATGGTGGTGCAGTGGTTAGCGCTGCTGCCTCACAGTGAGAAGGTCCTGGCCTCGGTCCCGGGTCCTTTCTGTGTGGAGCTCGCATGCTCTCCCCGTTTTCGCTGGGGACTCCGGTTTCCTCCCACAGTCCAAAAACATGCAGGATAGGTTGATTGGTGAGTCTAAATTGGCCCTGTAGTTGTGTGAGTGTGTGTGTGTGTGTGTGTGCTCCCTGTGGTGTGTTGGCAATTGCCCGGGGTTGGTTCCCGTCTGCGCCCCTTGTTCCCGTGATAGTTTCCGGTCCCCCCCCCGCGACCCCAGTTGAGATTAAGAAAATTGATGGATGGATGCACTGGCTGATCTTATATCGTCGGTGTGGGAGCATTTTAGCTTTCCAGTAATCACAAACGAAAATGGCGAGAAAAGCACAGACAAGACAAAAACTGCATACAAACATTGTAAAAGACTGATAACATACACAAATAGCACAACGAACGTGCTTCAGCATGTCCATCAGCACCACAGTGAGCTGAGCAAAGATTATTAAAAGGGCAAAACACGCTAAAAAGCTGCACATACAAGCCTTAGTTTATTTATTTGAAGATTTTTTAATTTACTTATTTTGATTTGGGATTTTTTTAAAACATTATTTTATTCAATTTCAGTTGCACTGTTAAGAAGAGGACACATTTTACACAGTTTATAAATAAATAAAGGAATATTTTTTAATAAATTTGTCTGCGGCTCATTCTGCTAAAAAATCGCAAGAAAATCGTATGGTGACGTCAGAATCGTGAATCATATCGAATCGTGAGCCGAGTTTATCGTTACATCCCTAGTAATGAATCACCTTTTCTGTACGTCTCATGGCTGTATTGTCTGTTTGTAACGAATCACAGTGACATCTCACTTTCCATCCGCAATCAATTACTACAGCTGTATGTCTCTGTCTGCCTGTCATGAGTCACTCCAGCCCTGTGTCTCACTCCCCCACTGTCTGATTCACCTTGTGTAGAAAAAGACGGTGATCTGTGACCCCATCCTGTGCCCGGTTCTGACCTGTCCGCGCACCATCCAGCCCGACGACAAGTGCTGCCCCATCTGTGACGGTACACCTCGGCGTCTTTCTCCATGTTTCCCTGTTGTTGTGTTATTGCCTCCCCCTGGATATTTCCAGCCCCCGCCTGCTTAACCCTTCCCTCCCTGTCCACAGTACAAAGCAGGGAGGTAGTGCCCCCAGAGGTCCCGGAGAGAGCCGACGAGCATCCAGAAGGTGAGAGGGCCAGTCGGATACCTGCGTCTCCTGTCCCACCTCCACCTGTTTTTGTAGCAATCCCGAATGGCCCTACAGTGCCCCCTGCTGGCCGTGCTGCCCCTCTGATGTCACTGTCCGTTGAATCCCGCAGGCTGCTACTTTGAAGGTGACCAGAAGATGCACGCCCCTGGTACCACTTGGCACCCATTCGTCCCCCCATTTGGGTACATCAAATGTGCCGTGTGCACCTGCAAGGTGAGAGACTCTCTGCGTGTGCGTGTGGGTCAGGTATACCAAATGTCCCCACAATGTGATAAAAACTTATTTTGTCATTGTGGGGCCCATTTTTGGGTCCCCAAGGGGAAATTCAATTTTATAAAAATCAAAATCGCAATCAAAAGGTTAAGGTTGGGACTGGATGGAGGTTAAGGTCATCATTGTTTAGATTAGGACTGTTCCCACAAAGACATAATTACAAACCTCTGTGTGTGTGTGTGTGTGTGTGTGTGTTCACCCCCATTGACCGTTGCCCCCCACCCTGCCTCCCTCCCCAGGGCTCTACAGGAGAGGTGCACTGTGAGAAGGTGACCTGCCCCCCCCTCCCTTGCAGCCAGCCCGTGCGCCGCAGCCTCTCTGATTGCTGCAAGGTGTGTCCTGACGAGCCACGCCCCCTGGAGCTCCGCTCTGCCCCCGATCATGGCGAGCTCATGCAGGCCGACGGGGCACGCGACTGCAAGTTTGGCAAGAGTTTCTACCAAAACAGCGAACACTGGCACCCAAGGGTCCCCCTGATGGGTGAGATGAAGTGCATCACCTGCTGGTGTGATGTGAGTAACTAACCCGGTACCCTGCCCTCACACGCATTCAGCCAATCATAGAGCTCCTCTGGGAGGCTCGCATGTTTTCAGCCAATCAAAGAGCTCCATGGAGGGAACATTGCAGAACATTCCCTGAACATTCTTTCAAATGATGGTGTTTGCTGTGTGACTCAGGAGAGGAGGCGTGCTTTGTCTGTATGACCTGTATCTCCTCTATGTTCTAGCATGGCGTGACCAAGTGCCAGAGGAAGCAGTGTCCCATCCTGACCTGCAGCCAAGTCGTCCGCCGGGAGGGGCACTGCTGCCCTGAGTGCCAAGGTGAGGAGGGGCAGAGCCGCGGGGGAGTGGGGGAGTGTGTGACGTCACCTCTGCAGCAGAGAGACATGCAGACTCTTGTGTGACATCCCTTAATTTCCAGATGTGCTCAACAAGGAGGAGGTGGATCTGATGAAACTACCAGAGAAGAAGAAGAGCTGGAGACACTGAGGAACAGCGTGGCACCCCCCCACCCCCCCCACCCCGCCAGCATGCACAGGAGGAGGGGGAGACAGGCAGGCGGAGGGGGCAGAGGAAGGCAAGGGACTGGGCTAACATGGAGCAGCGACGGCTTGTGCAAAGGGAACCGCTGCTTTTCTCGTACTTTTTCTGGAGAGTTTTCTTCACACTGCTACCTTTTCACTCTGCACCTTGTGACGACTGTTCTTTTATGTCACCTACTGTAACTGCCACCCATGATTGCACCACCTTCTGGTCAGAGCAGGACAATGCAAAGAGCTAATGTGGCCTCTGGATGGTAAACATGGCTTTCAAATGGAGGCAACACTGAGGTGCAAAGCAGACCTGGATGGGAAACTGGGCCCCACCTGCGTATCTCTGTGGATCTTCAGATCCTCTCAGGCAGCTGGCGACGGCTCAGCCAGTAGGCTGGGGCTTCAGTACGTTAGCGCCTAAGTAACCCATCAACCGTTTTTGCACAGCGGATATTGGATTTGCGTCAGTGCATAAGGAATGTCCTGTCCTGCATCAAACACAGACAGCCACTAGGAGGCGAGTGTGAGCGAAAGAGAGCTCTTATGAAATGCTGATGCTTGGCCTATTGGTGGAAGCTGAAGAATGGGGGCGTGGCCTAACAGGGATCAATGGTGGTGTGGGGGCATGGTCCAGCACAGATAGATTGTGGGGAGTTGGCATGGTCTAGCAGGGATCAATGGAAGAGAGGGGGCGTGGTGTAATGTTATTCAATGTGTGGAGTAGGGGTGTGATCTGACTCGAATCAATGGAAGTCGGGGCGTGGTCTAACTGGGATTCATGGAAGAAAGTGGGAGCGTTGTCAAACTGGAATCAATGGAAGAAAGTCAGTGTGGTCTACCAAAGATCAACAGTGTTATCTGTGTTCTCTTACTAATGTATATTATTATTTGTTATTATGAAACTTTGCATATTTTGTATTTATTTAATGTGTGGAAAAGTTAATAAAAAAACAGAGAATTGAAGGAAAAAACTGCAACGATCTGGGTCCCACTGGTGCCATTGCTTTTCATTGTTGTTGGGACAGGGAGAGGATCCAAGCGGAGGAGATGAAAGTTTATTTCTGGAATGATGGTCTGCAGACAGGCAAAGGGTCAAAAACCACAGAGAGGCCAGCGAAGGCAAACAAAACAGAAGCGTGTTTCCAAACCTGTAGTCCAAACACACAGCAAGTCGCAAAGCGTGCAAATAAAAGAGCAAGAAATCCGGGAAAACGGGCAGGGCTGCGGTGTACACAGAGGCCAGATCAGGATCAAACATTCAATATAGTGAGACACTCAGTACTTCTGGAGATGCGCGATGATATCGGCACAACATCGGTATAAGCCGATAAAAGCTTACAGTTCATCATCGGCATCGGCACGTACAAAAGTTTCTGCCCATAAGTCTGGCTGATAAGGTGGCATGTTGATAATGTGCAGGCAGCTACACCGAATGTGTATGAAGACCATCAGCAAGAAGCTTCAACATGTCGGCTGTATGGAAGTCTGTCAATGTACCTGAAACGGGTAACAGAATTACTATTTGCAATGGTTGGAAAGCGCTAGGGATGCAGGGAGGGGTAGAACAACTCACTTAACACTGCCGGTTTAATTACGTATCTTAAGAGTTGTCATTCTGAATGGCACAAAGACTTTCCCGACAAACAGGGAAGGAAAACCATCGGCGGCAGTGAAAATTTGTCACTAGCCTCTGCTTCGGTCATTTGACTCGGCTAAGAGATACAGAAGTGAGCTGAAGGTGTGAATATACTGGAATTGGCACTGGCCAAAATGAGGTTCAAAATATCGGCATATCGAATATCAGCAAAAATTCAATATCATGCGTCCCTGAATACTTCACAAGAAGGTCACTGAAGCCAGGTGCTTTAATTCCAGGTCAGTGAATCTATCATAGCAAGAAATCCCTCTGTAGTTGTGCTTTGATATTCAGAGGAGATGAATATCGTCCCCCAGCTTGTCTGTAAAACGCACCTCTCATTATCACAGATGCTTTTTAATAAGACAGAATCCGATGCTATTTTTTTGCCACTTAAACGCCCCCCCCCAATTCTTCCTCCTCTAACAGGTCACACACACTCCCTCACACAAATGTAGCACTTACTGTAGATATACCCTACCTTTACACAGATATTCACATGCACATACATGTCCACATTCACCTACGGCGCCCTCTATAGGCTGGGATGTTCATGCACTGCTGCCACAGCGTACTTAGCAAACATATTAAATTAGTGTTTCTCAACATTTTTGCTCCTTCCCAGCTCCCAGTACACCTGAAACATCGTATTCAACCATCTGAGGCAAGTAATAGCAACAAAGCGCAAAGGGAAGTCGTTACAAATGTATTCTGTGTTACACTTCATGTTTGTATGTGGCTGCAAAATTAGTAAACTTTAAAGACTATTTTTAATAAAATTTTACATTTCGGAGATTTGTTGGTATGGTATTAGTGATCGTATATTAGAAATACAGTGTGTCCAGTTTACTAGCTACAATACTTGTTAACGCAAACAGCCGACCCCATCCAAACAGCCAATCGTGTGTCTGCAACTGAACATACAGCACGCAGACAGGCTCCAGAGGCTCACTTACCGCGTGATAACACTTTCAAACATCTACAACACGCAAAGTATGTGATTCAGAACGTGGTGTGATTGTTGGTGCCAGACATGGTGTTTCCAGCATTGTAGGATTTTTCACACACTACAGTGTCTAAAGTTTACGGAGAATGGTGCGATAAAAAATAAAATACGACGTCACAGAAAGTCCTATGGGTGCGGGCACGTTGCTAATGAGGGAGAAGGAGAATGGCCAGACTCGTTAAAGATAACAGGAAGGACACAAGTACAAAAATAACAGCTCAGTACACCAGCGGTGTGCAGTATAGTGTCTGTGAATGCACAACTCTGCCCTTGGGGTCAAAAGTGGGTCCTACCCACTACTAGCTAGGTGCACCAATGAAATGGTTATTGACTGCATTTTATAAAAGAGCAATATGGGAACAACAGGGGGCAATGACGATGACAGCCACAGTATGGTGGCACCCTACTCGTCACCTTGATTTCTCCAGCAAACACAGATGGAAGAAGCTGAAAGATCTTGTTTGCCGTCTTCATTTCACCAAGCTATTTGTCTCTTCTTGGGGAGGGCCAACACAGTAAACGAACTGCGGTTTCTGTCATGGTGTGACACCAAGCACAGCTGCTCAAACAGCTGCAGGTAAAGGAACAGACTGCACAGAGACCTCTGCTGGTCACAGACAGGCCCGCGCCCATCGTCACAAATGGCAGGTATTTTGGTCAATATCCCCCTGTAAAGAAAAGGTCTGTACTTCTGAAAGTCTGTGCTACTTCACTCACACATTAACCTGGACCTTTAGTGCTCTTATGGAACAGCCCGAAGAAAGCTCCGTTAAAACTGCGAGGGTGGCGAGGATTGTGTGAAAACTGCACTCCATCACTGTTTGTCGGGTTTCTTCATTTCCACAACTCTGCAGTGAAGCCGAAGAATATTGGCAAAGTGGTGATTTGTCTCCGCCCGTTGGAATTTATCAGAACTACAAGCAGAGTCAATACGTCTCTCGCGGCAGGTAAAATGGGTTTCACGCTGGGTCGGGATATAAACATGTGAAAGTATAAAAATGCTCCCCAGAATTTGATTTGAAGATCAGGAGGAATTGGATTTATTTCGTTGCAAATTATACACTCATTTCTCTTCAGATGTGTGGAGGTTACATTTCGCTTTAATATTTTAAATGAAGTTCAACTGTTGCAAATATAAAGCATCCGTCCATCCGCTTATCCGCTTCAAGGTCACGCAATGCAACCATATACTCAAGCACATAAATTAATTCTAACTACAAGATAGACCTAAAGATAATGGTCAGTCGGCAAAGGTTTAAAAAGCCCGCAAACACTAAAAGATAATCACACGCGCTGTTTGTGTAATATGAGTGTTAGCTTCTACATTCACCTTTAGGGTTTCAGTCATTTCAAAACGTATCTTTGCCTGGTGCCGCTACATTCTACTGCATTTACTCATTCAAAATGAGTGAACTAAAACAGAAAATGACAAAACTAAACATCGAAGATAAATTTTGAGGAGAACTTAAAAATAGCACTGAGACAGAAAAAAATGCTTTGTGCGGGTTCTATCCAGTCAAAAAGCAATTGGGGTAATCCAATAGTTTTGCTTTGCCAGTAGATGGCGTAGTGAGTAAGGAACTGGATTTTAACTGAAACGTTTTTTTAGGAGAGACGTTATATATCGTTGTGTGTGACATGTAATGCTGGTTTTCGCTCATCCATAAATTTAGTCTAACAATCAGTCTAAAATTCAGTCTGGGTTTTCATTTAGTCCTGAATGACTTTGTTCTGTACAGGTGAATAAAGTTTAATAATCGCGCACAAAGCAGCACAATTGCAATGCAATTAATTAATAAGATAGGTTATAAAAAGCTACTCGTATGAGGAGGTAATAGCCCACGTGCCCTTCATTTGACCGCATGTCACCTTGTTTTCAGTAGTGAAACGACCATAGGAAGCCTACGGCTCGGTCCTGGCTCGTCAAGCCGGCATCCCGAACTTTATGCCAGATCTGCCCGGGATTCACACAACAGCCACATTCAAATTCCAGCTCTGCACGCATCCTGCTACTGCGCTACGGGCAATTCGGTGCTCAGGGACGCGGCTCCAGCCCACACTCAAGCATCACGGAGCGACCATATTCTGCTGGTCTCTTTCCTTAAGCTTTGTCATGACACATACATAGGAATTAAAGTTAACTATGCACATCGCATCTGTATGATCAGGAGGCGTAAGACAACGGAAAACGTCCGACACACAGCATCTCCTACTTTGATTTTTCTCCTGGGCGAGCAAGGTAGGAGGCAGCTGTTGACTATATTTAGCGCAAACTTAACAGGCGTGCAACATGCATTCCCAAATTGTGCTACGGACACATTATTTTATTTTCTAAAATCAGAG